GGGGGGGGGGGGGGGTGCAGTACGTCCAGAATTTGGCTCCGCGAGCCCTTGGTCCTATTTCCTCATAAACTTTAGTTCTCGGGAAAACGGTCCTTTCTTCGATCCGCTATGCGGCGGCGGGGTGAACTGGTGTGGTTTGGTTCGTTTGGCGGCGGGGAGGGCGCCGACACCGGTGGTCTTTAGGTAGCACACTCGTGCATTTTGGCGCATGGTACTTACATAACCCGTCTGGCAAACGACCAAAACTGGTATGTAGTCGCTCTACTGTGTAGTGTTTGTGTCTCTACCGTCACGTGGGACATGGAGCGACATGTGTGCGTGACGATGCCGGGGCGTCAGAAAAGAAAGGAGGCCAGTCGCTACCACGGGGTGACCACGCCTCTTCACCTTCAGCAGACGGGGTATACGTAGGGGTACAAGATTTCTGGGGCGCCAGTTTTTGTTGGGCTCGTGAGCCGGGCTGGGCGGAAGGGACGAAACTTGTTAAATATTTCTGGTGGTATGCGGACCCCGGCTGGCGCGTCCAGAGTTGTTCCGAAAAAGTGTAAAGACCGACATCGTCGAGCAAAAAACGGGATGGTAAAATAGAGTGGAAGTGTTCGGATGGTTGCTCGCCACTGCCGTGTTGTGCCTCATAACCCTATCCCTAACCGTAACAGGTTTCCGCCGTGGAGGCACTGCTTCCACTGGATGGCGGGGATGCTGGAGTCTGCGGGGCTTCGCGACCTGTACGATGGCTTGAGAGACGGGCTTGCCACGATCAACATGAAGTGAGTTGTACGACGGTGCATCCAGTAGTCACCGTCCCGGTTAAGGACACTCCCTCCGATTCACTCCGATTTGGGAGTGTCCCAGATTCAAGGACTACTGTACCCTCTTTAGTAGAACCATGCCATTTTTCAGAAGCATGGTGCACCGCAGAATGTACAAAATAGGGGGTATGAATTTATGGACACGTGCCCCCGCCCCAGGGACAGTGTACGTACTTCAAGCGGGACTGCTGTGTTTGTGAGGTGGTGGTGACTTTGCCGCCGCTGGCGTGGGGTACGTCTACTACTGGTTGTAGCCATGCACATCGCTACCAAGAATGCCCGGGGTGATTCGGTTTCTCAGGTCCGCGTCGTGATTTCGTCCGGGCTGTCGAGCGCTTGTTTTTTTGTCTGCGGGAGACGGTGTGTCCAATTGTCCCGCTTGCCGTGCCCCCCCCCCCCACGCGCCGAGGAAAAGACAGCAGAAAACGAACATGACATGGCGCGAGGGTTGTTGTTGTTGTTGTTTGGCTTAATTGATCGTCCGTCGCGGCAGTGCCCTCATCACCTTCTTGTGTTGAGTTTTTTTTTGTGGGGTATCTCATCTTTCTTTGGGACGCACACACAGGAGCATGCGAAATCTGCCTGAGTTTGGGAAGGGGGCCCACGACATCATGTGCAAGTGCTCGCACTTCCGCTGCCAGGTAGGATATCAGCTTAAGCTTTGTCGGTTTGCTGCTGTACGCCTGCCGTTCGCTTCCCCTTGTATTTAATAACCATCTTGTTGGGTGTCATTGCCATGAAAAACGAGACCTGTTGCTGGATTGTGTTTTTGAATTTCTTGCTTACGGTGTGTGTATATGTGTGTGCTGTTTTATTTTTTGTGTTGGCAACGTGCGATGTGTATCTCCGTCAATATGGAAGTAGACACCAAAATCGTTGCAGGCAGCAGGCATGGTACAGCATCTAAACGGCCATTGCATGAACCAACCAACCAGCAAACAGGCTCTGTACAGCAGTAGCCCGCCGCCGACATTACTGTATGTTGGCGTTTCCCCCCCAATGCGTTCGTTGCCTCCGACCCCTCCCTTCCCGCATGAACGCAGGCGACACATCGGGCTCTCGCGGAGCACGCCAAGCTCGACCCGTTCGGTAGCTTCCACATCCCGCACCACTGCCCGCAGTTCGGGCCCGCGGCGGAAGCGGCTGCGGCGAGCGGTGGCAAGTCGACGACCTTCCGTGCGGGTGCGTTTTTTTTTTGTTTTTTTCTCGATGCAACACAATAAATGCATCTCTATCCGTTAGATACGGGTCTTTTTTTTTTCTACAATGAACACAACGATTTCATTTTTGCTATAATAAGACATCTAGGAGAAATTACCGCAGGACACGAACGTGTGATAAGTTGTCAGACTCAAACTGAGACACACGCTCACTGTTTCAGGGTATTTCGCTTCGGGGTTTGTATTCCTGCGGGGTATCTTTTTGGGGTATATTGTCGAGCCGGCCGGGTGTTACCTCTCCTTAGCCAGGGTGCAGGTAAACATAGGTATAGAGGCACACCTTGTGCACATGACGATGATCATGGTTTATGGACCGCTTTTTATTGATCGCGCTACCATCAAGGCTGTATTATGTTTGATAAGCCGGCTAATCATGGCCACGACGTCATGACACACCCGCGCCGATGTTAAAGAGCACAAAATCAGAGCGAGCGAGCGCGGACAGCGAGCCATGTCTGTTCCTCTCCTTTCACGCCCAGTTTTGAACTCACTCTCTTTTGGCTCCCTCATGGGCGTTCCAACGGCGAGTGGTTCCCCGCCCAACGTGCCCCCCTCCCTCGCCCCCCCGTACACTCTTAGAAGCCACCCGTCGACACTGCTGCACCACCCCCTGATTTTTTCCGACGCGCCGAGACAGGTCGCGAGGCGTCGGAGTGGGCCGCGAAGCTGAGCACTGTTGATTCGCGGAGCTCCGGCGGCGGCGGCGGCGGCGGCGGCGGCGGCGGCGGCCGGGGGGGAATCACCAGCGGTGCCGCCGCTGCCGCCGCCGTCGCCCCCCCCCGGCGAGACACAGCAGCCTCCAAGACCTCCGCCGCCGCCGCCGCCGCTGCTCCTGCGGCCGCCGCGGCGGCAGCCGCCGCCGCCGCTGCGAGGTTAAAGGCTCCACCGGCGGTGGCCAGGCCGACCGCCGCCGCGCGGCTGGTGAGGACGGCGGCTCCGTCGATGGCGGCGCCGAGGATGCCGATGCCGGCGGCGGCGGCAGCGGCGGCGGTGCAAACCGACTCGTCCCACAAGGGTGGCGGTGGCGGCAGCGGCAGCTGCAGCGGGGGGGTGTCGCAGAGAGAGATGATGTTTGGCGGTGTCGGGGCGGCCGGGGCTGCGGCGGTGGCCGACAGGCCCATGACGCGGACGATGCCGGCGGCGACGGTGGCGGCGGCGGTGGCGATGAAGGGGGCACGAGGAGGCGCAGCTCCTCGGCTTGTGCCTTTGGAGGTGTGTGTGTGTGCGTGCCCGTATGTGTGTTGTGTGCATTTCTTTCATGAGCATCGATAACGGCGCCAACCACGAAATGACGTCATGTTTCTCCGGATGTTTTTTTTTTTTTGTGCTCGCTGGTATGGCTTCCGTCTTCGGGGCTGTCCATTGGCTGCTGCAGTAGCACGCCCATGGGCGTAAAGCTAGCGGTTTATCAGACACGCACTTTGTGTTATCTTCTCTCTCTGATCAGGAGGAGCAGCGCTGGCGAACCATGCCCGGCGTGGGCGGCCAGAGCCACCCATCAGGGATAGGCGAGGCCTTGTCTTCCTTTGACACGTTTTCGGGCACCGGCGGCGAAGGGGTCAACCTGTCCGCCGCCCCGGGCAGCGTCCCCGGGCTACCGCCGGGCATCGACGCCGCCGCCACCACCGTCACCAGCTTCTACATGGGTAACCACGGCGGCGGCGGCGTCGGTGTCAGTGGCGGCGGCGGTGGGGCCGGAGTCGCGCCACCGCCTGTGCGGGCCGCGAGTTGTGGTGCGGCAGGGGGCGGCGGCGGCGGCGGCGTGGCCATGTCGAGCGGGTTTGTTAGCGGCCGCGCGGGGGCGGGCGCGGGGGCGGCGGGCTCGGGCCTTGCGACTTTCGGCCACTCCAACCAGCAGCTGTGGGGCGCGGCGTATGGGGGAGAGTCGAGCGGCAACCTTGACGTGGGTTGGGTTGTTTTTGAGGAAGGAAGCACGAGAGTTTTGGTGGGTTGCAATTTCGGTTCATTTCAACTCGGAGGAAAGCCCAGGGTCGTTTTTTTTCTCGCCCCTCCGATTTCGCTAATATGTCGCCTCGAGATTTTTGTTTTTCTGTGCCTCGCGAGACAGGCGGCAGTTGGTTGTCTTGGGGAAGGGGGCATGTGCGTTTGGCCCGGTTGATTGCGCGTGTGGTACGCGCGATGGGTGCTTTTATGCTAATTGCTCGGCTGAGTGAGAAGATAGCCTCGGTTTTTCTTCCTTGTGAAGTTGGCGGACAAAATATGTCATACAACAAGGTCTTGCCTTCTGGTGTTGGTGCTGTCGTCGATATGTGTGTCGGCAGTTGTTTGGAAAGTTGAAACACCCGAAGTGTTGGGCGTGTGTGTGATTTTTTGCCACGCGCACTTGATTAATTTGTGAGGGCGCCGGGCTCGGGGCGAGAGGGGCGGGAGGGGGTACGCATAGCCGTGCATGCCGTTGTGGTTAGACTATTGATCTCGCATTCCTACGAAGCCGGGACGGAGCACGCCGGGTTCTCACCAGACCAGGCTCTAACATCACCAAGCGCGAGGGGGAGAAACTCCTGCGATATGCCGTAGCACCCCGTACGCTGGTGCGCCTCCTTACCATGAGTGCAGCATCGCCTGTCCCGCTCTACAGCATTTCGTTACGACTGTCTTATTACATGGGATTCTTACGACTCGGTTCGGTGTTTGTTTGTTGGCCCGGACTGACCACGAAAGACAACGACGATCGCAAACACCCGACAATGTTTTTTCCTTGTCCAAATGTTCATGTTGTGCCCCTGTCTCCCCCCCCCCCCCCCCCCCCCCCCCCCCCCCCCCCCCCCCCCCCCCCCCCCCCC